CTTGCATAACACCAGTGGCAATATCTTGATTGGAGGAAACACATACAGCCTGGCTGCTGGCCAGTGCGATGTTAGAGCATCCCCTTCCAGAGGGGAGTGAGACAGGGAGAAGAACAGCGCACAGTGCGCATTCTCGCTCATTACGAACAGATCCACCTCTGCTCTCCCGTAGCGGGTCCAAATTATCCAAACCGACTCGGGGTTCAACCTCCACTCTCCTTGAGGAATCCCCTTCCTCGAAAGCATGTCCGCCCCGCGGTTCAGGAGACCGGGGATGTGCGCTGCTCTGATGGAGAGAAAGTGACGGTCCGCCCATAACAGGAGATTCGCTGCTTGTTTGTACAAAGCCCTGGAACGTACGCCTCCTTGGTGATTTATGTACGAGACCACAGACATGTTGTCGGTGCGAATCAGTACCTGTCGCTGTTCCAGCTGCAGACGAAAATCCTTTAGAGCTATGAACACTGCTTCCAGCTTCATGCGGTTTATGTGCCACCGGCTTTGGGGTTCTGACCTCAGCCCTGAAGCCGGCATGCCCTCGCACACTGCTCCCCAGCAGCGAGTCGATGCGTCCGTCGTGACCACAATGCGTGACGTCACCAAGCCCAGGGGAACCCCCTGGCTGAAGAGATCCGGGTTGCACCACGGCCTCAGAGCTTTGATGCAGGAGACCGCGATGCACAAATGGCCCAAAGTCCGCGCCGTCCAAGGGACTCGAGATTTCAACCATAATTGCAGGGGGGCGCATGTGTAGTAAGCCCAGATGACATACCGCTGCAGTAGACATCATGAGTCCCAGCAGCCTCTGAAATTCCTTCAAGAGAACAGAGTTTCCCAGTCTGAAATGGCGCAGGGAAGACAAAATGGCCACCGAGCGTTCCCGAGAGAGGCGGGCTCACATCTCCACTGAGTCGAAGCACACTCCCAGATACGTTATAGACTGACTCGGGGCGAAAATGCTCTTCTGCATGTTGACACATAGCCCTAGGGACTCCAAGTGACGAAGCAGCGTGTCTATATGGCTGACTAGCGTGTCCCGGGACTGAGCTAAAATCAGCCAATCGTCCAGATAGTTGAGAACGCACATCCCGCTCGCTCTGAGGGGGGAAAAGTGCTGCATCCATGCACTTCAAGAAAGTGCGCGGGGCCAAAGCCAGCCCGAACGGGAGAACAGAGTATTGGTACGCTGTTCCCTCGAAAGCAAACCTCAGAAAGCGTCTGTGATGCGGTGCTATCTGAATGTGAAAGTGTGTGTCCTTTAAGTCCAAAGACACAAACCAGTCCCCGGGGTGAATTTGCGCCAGGATTTGTTTCAGCGTTATCATCCTGAATGGACGCTTGCAAAGCGCTCTGTTGATGGGCCTGAGATCTAGAATTGGGTGGAGTCCCCCGGCTTTTTTGGGTCCCATGAAATAGTGGCTGTAAAACCCGCTCTCCAGCTCGCTGGGAGGGACTCGTTCTTTTGCTCCTCAGACTGCAAGACTGCATACCTCTTGTCTCAGAACCAGGGCGTTTCGAGGCAATGTTAGCGACTGCACCACGCCATTGAGGTATGCGTCTATGCGTCTGAATTTAAGGGTATACCCACGCTCGCCGTCTGCTGCTGGAAAGCGCGCCTCGGCATCATGTGACTCATGGCTTTGGCGCACTTTTGAGCCTCCGTGAAGCGCTCAGTAATGGACTCCACGGCGTCACTAAAAAGGCCGGAGGGAGTCACAGGAACGTTCAGCAGCACTTTACAGTCAGCATCCTTGAGGTCAGCTAGGTTTAACCAAAGGTGCCTCTGAAGGAAGACCATAAAACCCATGGCCTTACCCACAGCCTGGGCCGCTTGCTTCGCCGCCATCAGTGCGAAGTCCATCGCAGCATGCAGAGCCTTAATGGCCTCTGCATATGCTTTATTGGCAAGGTGGGCGGTGGTCCTGCACAGCTTTGAGGGGAGGCTGATGTCTGAGCCTAGGGTCTTGGCTGCTGCAGGACACAGGTGCGCAGCGACGGTCTCCTCGACTGGGTGAGGGCGCACGTACCCGTGGGCCTCCGCCCCATCCACATGGGAAAAAATGGCCTGTGTTGCAGAGTGGACACGCGCTGATTGAGGTGCAGACCATGTTTTCACCAGCTGCTCAGGTACGTCGGAGAAGAAGGGGACTGACGTCCTTGAGTCAGCTTTCCAGGTGGACCTGAAATACCAGGAGTCAAGCTTACTCCTGGCAGGCTCCTCTGGAGGACTCCAGGTAAGCTCCAACTACTGGACAGCCCTTGACAGAACCCTCATGAGCTCCTCCTGGAGGTCTGGGGCCCCCATGCTGTCCGGCTAATCAGACTCCAATCCCGCTCAATCCTCCCTCTCCAAGGCCGAGATGGACATCGAGTCATCCCCCTCCTCCTGGCTAAAGGACACAAACTCCGCGATGTTGGAAGGAGGGCGAGTGAGAATGGGGAACGGGGCAACTGTTGGGGTTGGTAGAGCGACGTTGGGCCTCATCCCGAATAGGCAGCGAGCCACATCGCGGCGGGTCCAGAGCACGCGGGCCGGAAGGTCCCCGCAATGCCCGCAGTTTGACTCGTCCAGCACCGCCTCGGCGTGGGCCAGGCCCAGGCACGTGACGCAGTAGTCGTGCTGATCCGGCGGCTCTATTAGTCCCACGCAGATCTTGCAGATTGTTGCCATAGTGAATTCAACAGGTGAAGTAGAAGATTCTGACGTAATTGTCACGTGCACCGCATTTTATACTGCCTCTCGAGCTCATCGGTATTTGCATACTTCGCGTCAATTGGGCAGTCATTTGGACTGGTGGGAGACGATAGGACTTCAGAAAATGCGGGCCGGAAGGTCCCCGCAATGCCCGCAGTTTGACTCGTCCAGCACCGCCTCGGCGTGGGCCAGGCCCAGGCACGTGACGCAGTAGTCGTGCTGATCCGGCGGCTCTATTAGTCCCACGCAGATCTTGCAGATTGTTGCCATAGTGAATTCAACAGGTGAAGTAGAAGATTCTGACGTAATTGTCACATGCACCGCATTTTATACTGCCTCTCGAGCTCATCGGTATTTGCATACTTCGCGTCAATTGGGCAGTCATTTGGACTGGTGGGAGACGATAGGACTTCAGAAAATGTTGGAAGGGAAGGAGTTCCCATAATGGAGAAATATCTCCGTGATGTCTCGTGAAAGCTCGAGAGGGAACCATTATAAAGAAAACTCAATGCGCTTATAATGGACGAACACCAAATCCTGTATACAGATAATAAAAAATATATGTAGCCTACAGGCAAGCAGAATGGTACAGAATAAGAATGCAACGCAGTGAATTAAGCGTCCTCCCATAACCGTTATAAAGAAAACATTTAAAGGGGTCCTATTATGCTTTTTCACTTTTTCAACTTTAGTTAGTCTGTAATCTTGCTGTTTGAGCATAAAAAAGATCTGCAAAGTTACAAAGCTCAAAGTCCAATTCAAAAGGAGCTATTTTATTTAACAGAAATCACTTTTCAAAAACTACAACGAACGATTCTTTTGGACTATATAACGCATATTTTCCGGGATTTGTGATGATGACCGATGAATGGGACGAGACCTGGTTGAGCTGCACTAGAGAAGGCAACAAGTAGGGTGGCCATATGCACCGTTCATACGGGACATGTCCTGGCCAGGATTTTAATATTGCATAAAACATCCAAAGCAGTTTGACCAATAACATGCAGGTATTGTACATAATCGACCAGAGACACGCTAGCTTTCCCAAGGCAGACGAACTTAGAGTGGTTACAATCATCCGGGTTTAAATCGCTCTCAAATTGATTTAATATTGACTCAATATTTACACTGAAGCTCGCAGGCGGGTATGGTAAGGGGCGTGACATTTCCCGACCAGGCGCCAAGTGGAGCCAATCACAACACACACTGGCCCAGCTAACCAATAACAACACACACTGGCCCAGCTAACCAATCACAGCACATTTTCGTATTTCAGAAGTGTATCGATTTTGATACAGGAGCCGTTCATGCCAATCAAGGAAGACACACACTCACACAAAAACAAATTCAGTATACAGTTTATTAAAAATAGGATATACTAAGTAGGCTTACAGGCAAGCAGGTGATTGTGATTGTAATAAAGGCAATTTTATACTTCACTGAACAGAAATACACTGTTGTGTTTTCTGCTTGGATGTTACGGTTAGTTTTTTATTATTATTTATAATATGATTTTGTGGCTATGAGTTCAAATGTCATTATGTGCATAATTGTCCATTTTTCCTTTGAACAAAGTGACTGATCCTTATTTAGATAGTACAAATAATAAGTGTTTAATGCTTTTTTTTTTTTTGGCTGGACATTTTTGGGGGGAGACACAAGGAGAATCTGGGGGGGCATTGGCCCTGTGTGTTAGTCATGTTAGCGTGTGTAGTTACGTTCGGTCTTCAGTACGGCTCGGCTGGTGTTGAACCCACGGCTGTTTCTGGCGGAGCAGTTAAACTCCCTCTGCAGGTCGTCAGCTGAAAAATCCATCACATTCAGGACTCGTTCTTTCAATTCGTCACCGTAATCATATGACACAAGCCTACACACACACACACACACACACACACGAGTCAGTAAAACAGAGATAGAGACAGATCAAAGAAGTGAGAAAAACACAAACGTGTCGTACGTGGCCTCAAGTGAGCTGAATCGTGGGTCGGCGAGTTGCTCCACGGTTTTGTTATCGATGGTCCACCAGATGTGCTGCTTTTCCTCGTACAGGTGAGGCAGATGCACACGACAGGACAGTGTCACAGTATCTCCTGCAATACGGAGACGTTCACTGAAGCATACGGAAGAAAACACGGCAAAAACAGCAAAAAAAGATGACGATGCTCACCCAGAGTCACCGTGTAGATCTGATCGCTCGCGGGATTCAGGATGATGGGAACTTTACTGCCGACATCAGGAACTACAGGAGAAAAATGTTTGAAAACCTTATGACAAGGTCAAATGAATGGATTAATTCTGCCACAAATAAAAAAAACTCAAATAAAACAAATTTTATTTCACAATTCTGCAAAGAATTCTCCAAATTGTGAGATATGTGAGAAAAAGTCAGAATTGTGATGAAGTCAATTGCGATATAAAGTCAGAATTACTAGATATAAACGCAGAATTGAGAGAAAAAGTCAGAATAGTGAGATATGAACTCAGAATTGAGATATAAACTCAGAATAGTGAGATATTAATTCAGAATACTGAGATATAAACTCGGGATTGCGAGATATGAATTCAGAATTGATATATAAATTCAGAATTATGAGCTCAAAATGAATGATATGAACTCAAAATTGCCAGAATCAGCTTTATTCACGACTTAACAATAAATAATAATGTGTATGAGTCTGGAACAGAAGATTTATGTACAGATTTGTGCATTTACATATTACTTGAGAGAGAGGCAATAATTAGAGATTGAGAATGAATTACTGGCATGAATTACAGAACACAGGTAATAATTCCTGTGTTAGCGGTTTAGGCTGCAGATGGCATGGGGGGAAAAACGTTTTTATGCCTAGATGTTCTAGTGCACAGAGATCTGTAACGTCTGCCTGAGGGGAGAAGTGCAAACAGGTTGTGTCCGGGGTGAGAGGGGTCTTTGATGATGTTTCCTGCCCGTTTCTTCACTCTGGAGTTGTACAAGTCCTGAAGATTGGGCAGATGGACACCAATGATCCTTTCTGCTGTCCTAACAGTCCGCTGCATTCTTCTTATTTCTGATTTGCTGGCTGACCCAAACCAGACAGTTATAGAGGAGCACAGAACTGACTCAATAACAGCCGAGTAAAACTGTGTCATATGCGCCTGTGGCAGGTTGAACTTTTTCAGTTGACAAAGGAAGTACAACCTCTGCTGAGCCTTTTTCACGATGGAGTCAATGTGAGTGTCCCACTTCAGGTCCTGTGAGATGGTGGTTCCCAGGAATCTGAATGACTCCACTGCAGCCACAGTGCTGTTCATGATGGTGAGTGGGGGGAGTGCAGGGGGGTTTCTCCTGTAGTCTAATATCATCTCTACAGTTTTGAGCGTGTTCAGCTCCAGGTTGTTGTAACTGCACCAGATAGCCAGCTGCTCAACCTCTTGACTGTAAGCAGACTCGTCTCCTTCCTGGATGAGGCCGATGACTGTAGTGTCATCTGCAAACTTCAGGAATTTGACAGAGGGCTCTTTAGAGGTGCAGTCATTTGTGTAGAGGGAGAAAAGCAGTGGGGAGAGAACGCAGCTCTGAGGAGCTCCAGTGCTGATGGTGCGGGTGTTGGATGCGAGTTTTCCCATCCTCACTAGCTGCTTGCCTGTAATCTGGGCCTTTGGCTTTCCTTATCTTCTGTCTCCTGAAGACTTTGCGTACATCATCTTCACAGATCTTGAGTACAGGTTGAGAAACAGTAAGGGGGGGAGGGTGTTGATGGCTGTGCTGTGAGATGGTCGGAGTGGGTGTGGGGTGTCCAGGTTTTTGCTTTTCAAACCTGCAGTAAAACTCGTTCAGGTCTTCAACCAGTTGTTGATTGGCCTCAGTGCTGGGGGATGGGGTCTTGTAGCTGGTGATGTCTTTCAAGCCTTTCCACACTGATGTAGGGTTGTTGCTTGAAAGCTGTTTTTTTAGCTTTACAGAGTAGTTTAACTTTGCCACTCTTATCTCCCCATTTAGTGTGTATTTGGCCTGTTTGTACAAGTCTTTGTCCCCACTCCTGTAGGCATCTTCTTTGGCCTAGCGAAGCTGTTTGAGTTTTGTACTGAACCAAGGTTTGTCGTTGTTAAATGTTAAATAAGTCCTGGTGTGTACACACATGTCCTCACAGAAACTGATGTAGGATGTCACGGCGTCAGTAAGCTAATCCAGATCAGTAGATGCAGACTCAAAAACACTCCAATCAGTAAGTTCGAAGCAGGCCTGTAAATCCTGCTCTGCTTCAACAGTCCATGTCTTTACAGTTTTTACTACAGGCTTAGCAGATTTGAGTTTCTGCCTGTAGGCTGGTAGAAGATGAACCAAACAGTGATCAGAGAGTCCCAGCGCTGCTCGGGGTACAGAGTGGTATGCATCCTTTAAAACAGTGTAGCAGTGGTCCAGTATATTGCTGTCTCTGGTGGGGCATGTGTTGTGATGTCTATATTTAGGCAGTTCACGGGTGAGATTAGCTTGATTAAAATCTCAGAGAATTATAATGAAAGTGATATTGTGAGATATAAACTCAGAATTGTGAGATAAAAACTCAGAATTGTTATATATGAATTCAGAACTGTGAGACATGAATTCAGAATTGCAAAAAAAAAAAAACAGATTCACGAGTAAAACTAACTTCTAAACTTGCCCTTCTGAGAAAAAAGTGAATTGTGAGATAAAAAGTTGCAATTGGCTTTTTTAGATTTTTTTCCGTGGCAAAAACAAGCTTCCACAGAAATTAGATGAGAGGAGGCAAGAAAATCGTACCAACAGCAATGACGTTAATGTTGCGTGTGAACTGGAGCGTGCGTCCGTTCATCTGATATGAAACCACACACGTGTAGAGGCCAGTGTACGGCTCCATCATCCTGTAGATCACCAGATCATCTCCTTTCAGCTCTCGGTCTCTTTGAAACAGATCATACCTGCATAACTACAGAGAAACAGACATGAACCTGCATGTTTGACCTACACTGATCTGGATTCATTTTTCTTAAATCACTTCACACTATCTCGAAGGGAGATGAAGATGATAAATGTCAGTCCTAAATGTTATGGTTTTATTAGTTTTTGCAGCATTTTCTGTTTTCATTTTGATTTGTATTTATTTATTTATTTATTAGTTTCAGTCCTCTTATTTATTTTTATTTGTCTATTTAGTTTTTATTAATTTTTATTTCAGTTTTGGTTATTTTAGTACTTAAACTAAATAAAAATGTTGCCTTGGTAACTAGCTGAAATTAATGTTTGCATTTTTTTCTATTTTATTTCAAGTAACACAAAGGGTTTGGCTGACAGCGATGCTATCATTAACAAACTAAAAATTAAAAACTAAAAACATTTAAGTTAACATATTAACTGAAATAAAAAATAGAAAATGTAGTTTTGTTCGGCTTTAAAGGCAACATTTCTAATTTTCATTTAGTTTAATTTAAAGTACTGAAATTATTAAAAAATAAATAATTTATCAAAACTAAAAAGACATTTAAAAAAACTAAACAATTTAAAATGAAAAGGGGATTTTGTTAAAATTATACACATTTTCACAGATTCTGCAAGGGGTTTTCTGCAAGGGGTTCCCAAACTTTCGCATGCCACTGTGTGTGTATATGTACACACACAGTGGCATGCGAAAGTTTGGGAACCCCTTGTAGAATCTGTGAAAATGTGTATAATTTTAACAAAATAAGAGAGATCATACAAAATGCATGTTAGTTTTTTTTTTAGTACTGTCATGAGTAAGATATTTTACATAAATGATGTTTACATATAGTCCACAAGACAACAAATAACTAAAATTATTAAAATAACCCCCTTTAAAAGTTTGGGAACCCTTGGTTCTTAATACTGCGTGTGGTTACCTGGATGATCCAACCCTGTTTTTTTTGTTTAGTGATGGTTGTTCATGAGTCCCTGAAAACTTTTGAACATGATGAAAATGTCTAAATTTTTCTTATTTTGTTGAAATATCATTTTTTTTCCATTTAGTACTTCCCTTCGGAAGCAACAGAAGATACTTACATGTTTCCCGGAAGACAAATTAAGTACAATTTACCTTGATCTACAAATTCCAAAAGTTTCAAAAAGTTCAAATTAATTTATTCCAATAGCAGTGGTTCATTAGAACTTTATATAGTTGTGCATTTTAAACGTGTTAGTATTTAGTCTTTTAGAACATTAGCATATAGATAATACATCTTTGTTCATATCGTTACAGGTCGTTTCTTGCATTGTTACGACTCTTTAAACAGACAAACTGCCCATGCTGATTTGCATTTTTATAGCTTTGCTCACGCACAACCTTTAAACTGAATGATGCTGATTGTTTGCGTTCACATCCTCTCAGTTTATTAGCTGTGCGACTCTGGAGATTAAGAAATGCATTTGCTTCATAACGGTTGGATGAGTTTTCAGTATCATATTTAATTATGATAGTCTCCAATGTTTATTCACACACACACACACACACACACATACACACACACACACACACACGGACTCACGTGGTACCAGCTGACGGAGTGTGTGCTGTTGGGCAGCGTGAGTGTGTTCAGGTCTGGACAGGTGAGGGTTTGTTCACTCTGGAACGGTATAGTCAGGTTCAGGTGAGGTTGAGCTCTCCTGTCACACTCTCCGTCCTTCTGCACCACCTTCAGCTCCACGCCGATCTTCACACACGAGGAAATGTTGCTGCCACACACACAAAACATGATAAAATAACCTGCACGATTGGTTACATGTTTATATTTAGATCTATATAATATATATATTTATATATATACATTATATACTAACCTAACCCTAACATGATGAAATAACCAGCATTATATTATATCATATTAATTATGAAATAACCTGCATGATTTGGTTACTAATTTTTATTTAGATCTAAATAAAATGTATTTATATTTATATAAATTATTATATTAGATTAAAATAGATTAGATACATTTATATCCTAACCTAAACCTAATGATGGAATTACTTGAATGATTTGGTTACATACTAACATCCAAATAATATGTAATTTACATTTTTTTAATATATATATATCCTAAACTACTCCTAACATGATGGAATTGCTTACGTGATTTGGTTACAAGTTGCTATTTACATCCCAATTTATTTGCCCTATATTATATTATATTATATATATTATATTACTGTATCATACTATATCATATATCATTATGTGCATGATTTGGTTACATTTAAATAAAATATAAAAAATAAATGAATTAATAAATAAATAAATAAACAGTATACTTATACATTTATTTATACATTTATACTATTTTTATATTCTTTCTTTCTTTCTTTCGTTCTTTCTTTCCTTCCTACTGCATGATTTGGTTACGCATTTATATTTAGATAATATTAAATTACATTTATATTATATTATATTATTTTATATTAAATATGTAATTTATAATTTTGACATATATGGGATTTGAATTCACATATATTACTGTACACCTGCTTTTGAAGCTTACAAGTACAAAATGCCACTGAAAACTGATTTTATGAATACATTGCGGGTTGCAGGAATTAGTTATGATATTCTACCAGCATGAAACAGCATTCACTAACCCATTATACTTCCATAATGTGATGTACAGTATATGTGTTCACCCTAAATCAGACTAATCCAGCTTCCTTAAGACTAGTTGTTTAACCATTCAGACACCCCACCAGCAGCTAGTCAGTTTGAATGCATGTGGCTGTGCACATCTCTAGTATGTGTAGTATGTACAGTGTGAGTGTTTACCGGAGCATGCAGATGTAGAGTCCGGCGTCCTGCGCCGAAGCCGGCTGAATCCACAGGTACTCGCGGTCTTTGTGCAGTGTGTGTAGTTTGAGGTTGATGGGCTGCTCCAGCTCGTGTGTGTGTGTGTGTCGGTACCACAGCAGAGACAGACTGCTGTTCTGAGTCTGACTGTAGCTGTAGAGCGTGGGATAAGAGAAGAGCGGACAGTAGAGATACGCCACCTCCCCGTCATACACCCGCACCGAACCCTTGCTCCACACACCCCAGTCATGACACTCAATGTCTGAAACACACAAACACAACACAAACAACCTCACAAACACACCTCTGTAATCTCATAGATTCAGAATTCCCAAAAATAGAAAGTCAGAGATCTCAATATGAACATCAAATGATCTGAGCTGCTCTGTATTGATTCTATAGCTCTATACTGTTAATGCATGACAACTATTGACTCAAATATGTCTGTTTTTACTCTTCCCATGGACTTTTAGGAGAAACAATGTTGATACACTATCAGTCAAAAGAGTGGAACAATTCAGATTTTTAGTGTTTTTTAAAGTAGTATGTTCTGCTCATCAAGGCTGCATTTATTTGATCAAAAAACACAGTAAAAATTGTGAAATATTAATAGTTTAAAATAACTGTTTTCTAAGTGAATATATTTTTAAAATGTAATTTATTCCTGTGATGCAATGTAGAATATATATAAATTTAATGCATCCTTGCTGAATAAAAGTATTAATTTCTTTCTACTGTTTTTCTGAAAAATGTTGAGCAGCAAAACTGTTTTCAACATTGATAATAATAATGAATGTTTCTTGAGCAGCAAATCAGCATATTATACTGATTTCTGAAGATCATGTGACACTGAAGACTGGAGGAATGATGCTGAAAATACAGCTTCGACCACAGAAATTAATTACATTTGAACAGATATTCACACAGGAGCTATTTGAAACTGTAATAATATTTTATAATATTACAGTTTTTACTGTATTTTTGACCAAATAAAAGCAGCCTTGGTGAGCAGAAGAGGCTTCTTTGAAAACATTTTAAAAAATCATAATTATTCCAAACTTTTGACTGGTAATGTACTTCAACAAAACATAACTAATAACTCCATTACCCTGAAAGCGAATCAGACATCTGAGCAATAAAATTTCCTCTGCATGAGCTCAAACACGCACTTGTACACTCAAACCCTTTCACACACACACATTATTGCGTGCAAATCAATATTAGGTAATTGAGCTATCAAATTTATGACATGAACATGGTGTAAAAATTAAAACATTAAAAAGACCGAATCAATTACAGCTTAAAACTCACACATCAGCAACTAATGCAGCAATACGAAATTAATACCTAGGCACGCTCTTTCTCTCTCTCACACACACACGCTCACTGTGCAAAGAGAAATACACTTCCAGTATGCAAACGCAGTACAGTATAATAATGAAAGATAAGGTGATTTATTTAAATGCTGAACCTGCTAAACTTCAAAAAGTCTATCTAAATAAATTACCATCCCAAATCAAACTGACACTGCATAGCAAACACTTAAAACTTAGATCAAAATGATAAATGTTACCTTGGCAATCAGTGTTATTAATTTTGTTGTGTTTTCATCAGTTTTAGTTTGTTATTTCAGTATATCAAGTTAAACTAAATGAAAATTATAAATTCTGCAAAAGGTTTTAAAAATATTTGATTTCAATAAAAGTTTCTTTTATTTTAAGTAAAACTATTTTTGGAAGGTTTTAGGTTTAGTTAACTATATTAACTCTGTTGGCAACTAACTGAAATTTAAGTAATAAAATTACTAAAACTTAAATTAAAAAAAAAGAAAACTTGTATAGAGCACAACAAGTAGGCTACGGCGCTTGTCAGTGCAATTCTGATAAAAAAAAAACAGCGGAACGAGCTTCAACTCTTGGTCATACGAGTAAGACACCCACAATAACAACAAAACACTACAAACCTTTATTTTTTCAATGAAGAAAACAAACAGGGATTGCTTTCTGCCATCTCAGTCTCCGTGTTTACCGATAATATTTATAGTAAAACTGTGGTTATATAAAAAAAAACTACACCACGTTACTACACTTTTACTATAATAAAACCATGGTTCATTTTCTTAAGGGATTTGTATTTGTGTATTCTTTCTTTGTTTTGTTTTTTTAACCGTACTGCCTTAATGGTTTGATCTGAATCAAATGATTCGTGACACGCACTCTGAAGTCCCGATCTGAATCAAATGATTCGTGATACACACTCTGAAGTCCCGATCTGAATCAAATGATTCGTGATACACGATCCGAATGGAGTGCTTCAAAACAGTGAATCGTTTTGCGACACAATGGTTTAACTGATTCAGAGATTCTAAAAGCTCGGTTTATTTATCCCATCACTACGTGCTTTTGAAAGTCATAACAAGCGATGTCGAAACTGAATGATCAAAGTCACGATTTTGAATCAATCAGAGCAGTTCCAATCTAAATGACTCTCTCAATTGAATTGGTTTGTCTGTTCCTCCACTTTTCACATCTTAGTAAAAACACTTAAAATAAATGAAAAATAAAAACCAAAATTTTTTTTTTAAATGAAAAATATATCAAATTATAAAAATCAAAGCTAAGTTGATCTGTTTGAGTTTAAATAATTAATAATATATGACATAATAATTATATCAGAACATATACTAAAATTCTTAAACCTGAAAGTAAAAAAAAAGAAAGCTATATATAAATATAAAAAAAAAGAATAATAAAATGATAAGTGTAACAATTACTAAAACTGAAATTTAAGTCAAATACAGCTATATAATTTATTTTTTTTAAATGTTTAAAAAAATAAAAAAAATTAAAATGACGTAAGAACAAAAAATGTTTCTAAAACTATATTTAAAATAAATTTAAATAAAAAATAAAAGCCAATTCAAGACATTTAAAACTACTATAGTAGCATATAAATAATGCATCCATCATAGTAGCATGCTTAATTTACGCATGCTCACAGAAACACACTTATGAAAATGCAATTTCTGTAAAATAATGAAAGATAAGCTGATCTGTTTGGGTTTAAATGCTGATCCTGCAAATGTCAAAAAGTTTATTTAAATAAATTACCATCCCAAATCAATGACACTGTATAAACCACACACACACACACACACACACACACAGATTCTTATTCATATCACACACACACAGACGGGCAGGTGATGTCAGGATCTGTCTGTAGGCCGGACAGAGCGGGCGGTGGGGGAGGACCGGCGGCATGTGTGTGTGTGTGTGTGTGTGTGTAATTGCTCTGTCACTTTGTGACTGGGAGGGGATTAGTCTTCCTATTAAGTGCGAGCGCTCACACACACCGCACGCCATTATAAATGACCCCCTTCTGGAACAATCCATTTCCTGTCCTGCAGCAGCAAGCGTTTTTAATTAACCCCTGCTTCCAGAGGTGCAACCGGCCCGTAATCCCATGACCGCGCTAATATTATGACATATAACAGCACATGTGATACAGCTGCTGTCGTTTAATCATGTATCAATATGAGGTCTCTGCACTATTTGGTTACTGCTGTAACTCGCTCAAATGTGTTCTAGATCATTAAACGTGACGTTAAGGTGCTCTGAGAGCCGGTGTCTTTAGGAGGCGCTTTCATACATCACGTCGTCTGTCAAGTCATCGCCTCACTAGGCAACACCTTCGGTTTGAGACGCAGCCTATAAAACACACCGGCTCTGTTTATTTAAAATTTTATAATATGCAAGAACAAACAAAAGATCAAAACAATACAATACAAAATATATATTCAAAACCCCAACTCCACCCACCCCACTACCCATCAGACAAAAAGTATCAATTACATAAAAAATTAAAATAAAAAGGACACCCTTAGTTATACAAATTTGGGACTGTATTCCCTACTTGAGTTTTTCAACAAATGACAGAAAAGGTTGCCAGATTGCATAGAATCTCTGGGTAGACCCTTGAAGTGAGTGTCTTATTTTTTTCCAGTTTAAGATGTTGCATGACATCCTTAATCCAATGAGAAAAATTGGGGGGAAGAGGGTCCTGCCATTTAAGCAATATTAATCTTCTGGCAAGTAAAGTGGAAAAGGCCAACATTTTACAATTATAACCACTTAGACGCATGTTCTGTGCTGTGATGCCAAATATAGCAATAAAAGGAGATGGATCTATTGGCAATTCTATCAGTTCTGAGAAAGCATCAAAGATTGATTTCCAAAAGTTATACAAAGCTGGACATGTCCAAAACATATGTATAAGGCACACAGGAGCCTGTCTACACCCATCACAAATAGGATCCAGTTCTGGTCTGAATCTAGATAACCTAACCTTTGACCAATGTTGTCGGTGTACCACCTTGAATTGTATAACCACATGACGTTGACATATAGATGATGAGTAGATATGTTTAATAATTTTCTGCCAAATTGTTTCCGGGATTTGTTCATTCAAATCTTCCTCCCATTCATTCTTCAGATGGTCTAAATTTGCCAGGCTATGCTGATTGAGGAGCTTATAAATTTTACCTATGGTTAGTTTTAAGTCTTGTCCTATCTTAAAAATAAAATCTAATAGAGATGTGGGAGGATATGAGGGAAAACAATCAGTATGTGAAACCAAAAGAATTTCATATTTGCAGGTATCTAAAGAAATGTGACCTAGGAATCTTAAATCTATTAACCAGTTCGTCAAAAGATACAAAAAGTTTGTTTATATAAAGATCTTGAAATGTACAAACCCCACTTTTAGCCTAAACATCAAAGGCTTTATCTAATATTGAAGGAGTAAACATGCAGTTATTGCTTAGTGGGGCACATAAGAGACTACGGAGAGCAAATGACTTTCTAAATTGATTCCAAATTTTTAGTGATTGTATCACCATAGGATTCAAGGAGTAGTGAGAGGCAGGTTTAAGCACTGGAAGATCAGAGCACATTAAAGAAGATAGGGAAACAGATTTACAGGAGGTTTTCTCCAAACTAAGACATTTAGGGACGCAAGGGCTATCACTGTCCTTCATCCATTAAGTCAATCCTCTCATATTAGCCGCCCAGTAAATTGACACTTTTCCAAATCCAAGGATTTTTGTTGTTCCAGATAAATGCTGACATAGGCTTCTCTATGGAGTTGAACAAATATTTAGAAATAAATATAGGAACTTAGGCAACACATTCATCTTAATAGTATTAATTCTTCCACTTTAAGAGAGGGGCAGCAAATCCCAGCATTTGATTTCCTGTTTCA